TGCGCTTTTGTAGTATTTGAACAGTGAAGTGGCACTCCTATGAGACAATACCAGCATTGGCCCCAAGGCAATTTGAGACCCATGCTTTAACAGAAGTGTGGCTTAGAATCGTAAAAATGTAAAACAAAAAAAATATAAAAAATATTTATTTATAAAAATAACATTGTGTGTTGTGTTCTGTGTCTGTGTGAGTGTCCTCCTAAAGGAGAAGTCATACCAGGTCATCCACCAGGTCTTTGATGGCAGTGACTCCCAGCACCACGACCAGAGGAATCAGTGTGGTGTACCAGGGCAGGGTGGAAATGTCTGGAATAATCTAGCAAACAAACAAACATTTGATGACATTTTGGTCCTTTTTTGTATCACTGTAAATTAGAAGAAAGGTTGTTAATTTTTTTTTTTATATCTACCTGTAGGATGAGCAGAGCCAGGAAATAGAGGTTGGCAACTCTCCTCAACTGCTCAAACAGGTTCAGGGGGATGAAGGTAAGGACGTTGTACTTGTATGTCTTGATGGAGTTTCCCTTCAGAGGAGAAACACACAGTGATGAGCACAGTCTGTTAGTGTTTTGTCCTGCGCTGTTAAACATATTTACCATATGCATTTCAAAAGGGGGACTCCACCAATATTACATAAGATGCAGAGCTTTTTCAGAAAATAGACCACGATGATGTCAGAGTGATGTCATCTGGGTAATCTCAGCGAAATTAATTCACTATTCTCACAAACAGTTTCCTTCCACTAAAAATCAGCATGTTTTAAGATTTCAGCTATCTATGGCCAGTTATGTAACGGGGATACTTTCTGCAGGTTTCAACAGGTTAAATTTCAGACTTTTCAGGACCATTCTGAATACAATTAAAGACCTTTTTTACATCCATGCCAGCGAAAAATTTACACAGTATCTGAAGGAAAATTGCTATTGGTTCAACTTCCGTTTCAGTTTGTGTGTTTTTGGAAAAAATTGTCATCATGCTGTTATAATTATAGACTTCAATTACTGCAAAATGCAACTTTATACAAGTAATGTTAATCTAATCAATCCAAGCTAATTTTAAGACCTGTCAAAATCACATTTACAGTACTGAAAACTAATTTTTAAGTACTGGAAGTCTACTGAAGATTTAAAGTGAAAATTTGTTCACTGATTCTTAGCATCCCAGGTTCCCCACAGCCATTGGATTGTTTGAAAATACCCAACAGTTCAATGTGCATCTGCCATTTTTATTTCAATAGTTGAAAGAATGCATAGAAAGCAAAGCATCTAGGAATGGAAAAGTTGAAATAATCTTAAACCTCAGGGAAGACAAACTGGCCAGAGGTCTTTGTCTTAAGTCAGCACGTATTCAGTCCAGTTAGCATGGTTTCAGTACAGAGGTGGTGCTGTGTTTCAACAGAGGATAACCATCTCGACTCTGTCCATTACAGCCTGGTTTCCACTCGGTGGACAGTCCGTCTCTGCCATGGTGTCCTTGAGCAAGATAGATAACCCCTACTATCTCCAGGTCGGTTCTGAGAGTTTGATTTCACAGAATAACCTCAAGTGTGCTGTCTGGAGGCCAGTCAACCTTCCATTTGATTCTAAAGTTGCTGGATGGGGCTGAGGTCAAGGTTCTGTGGATGACCAGTCAAGTTCTTCAACAGCAAACTAGGAAAACCATTTCTTTATGGACCTGGCTTTGTGCACGAGGGCACGGTCGTGTTGAAACAGGAAAGGTCAAACACATACTGTTGTCACAAACTTGGAGGCTCACTATTGTCTAAAATATAATTAGACGCTGTAGCATTAACATTTCCCTTCACTGGAACTAGACCAAACCAGGAAGAATAGCCCCATAGCACAAATATGCAGACAGGGCTTTGGGTTAGCTCATTGCTTTACTGAAATGTCTTTTCTACAACCAAGGAGAGTAAATAGTTTCCAACTTAGCAGTCAGTGTCCTGGTTGACTGTGCAGGCAGTGGCCCAGTTTGCGGGGATGTCAGTATTGAGACAGAGCTGCATTTCATTATAGATAACCTGGACTCTGACCAGTTATAGCTTGGACTTATAGCTTGCAACAAATGGTAAAAAAAAAAAAAAAAATTCAAAAAACAATCACTACCTTCTTTTACCTCCTTTCCACCAGATTCGATCTAGGACACTCTAGGTTGTTTGTAACATGTTCTGGCTTCAGTCACGCTAAGCCTCGCTGTGTCTAATGTGTCTATTAGTCAGATACAAGTTGGCTCAGCTGGATGATCAGGTTTCAGCCTCCTCAAAGGCAGATGACACAAAAACAGACCAGTGAGTCTCAGCATTTGACCAGCAAGAGCTTTAAATTACAATTAAAAGGAATTTTTATTTAGTCTTTCCATGTGTAGGACAGACTAACTTAACAAAAGAGCTAAATTACTAATCAAAAATGTACAGATACCAAGAAAAGCCCTGATCTAATGTGGGTATCAAGTACAACACGCAACTGTCAGTCACTGACATGCCTTCACCTAATCTTACATTTCCTCCATATCTTCATTCACAACAAGAAGTGTACACTCTAACAGTACTTGCCTAGCATGATTAGCTCTTCACATGTTTCTAACATGACCTGACGAGAAATTACATTAGGGGGAAGCAGACGCAAAAGGAAATGATCAAATAAAACAAAGCAAGCTTCCTTGTTGGTGTTGCCATTTCAAATATTGCACATGACCTGACTGAAATCCTTCACAGGCATGAACAGCCAATTAATGCTTACTGATTGCTTGTTCAAAGACAAATTAAGCATTTCTGTTAATTTCTCTTAACCTCCAGATATAAACGACCAACCTCACTCTTGGCAGATCTAAATTTCTTTGCCGTCAAAACAGTTGACTGAAAAGTTTAATTCATAAATGCACCTATGCCTGATTCAGTACACAGAGGTTTTGTTGGTTAGCCTCTCTCGGTCTGGTATGACCATTAGCTTATGATGCTTCACATAGCTTAGCTTATAATGTTTGTAGAATTTAGATATTGCTATGTAACTCACATTAGACGTTTGTTTAATGTGTTCTCACACATCTGTTTGTGCTACTATTACAATGTTAGCACACCACTGTCCTTTAATTGCGTTTATTTTACTTTAAATAGCTCTCTTACTCTTGTAATCAAAAACATGCTTTGAAGCAAAATCCTGGGGCTGAAAATGGTTTTCTAATAAATATAGAATCAACCCATATCAATTTCAGGCTTAACTGAACAACCTGATCATCACCCAGACATGGCTGAAGCCCCAGCCATTCTGAGTACAGATACAAATAAAAGTTGGGGGTTGGGAAAGGATTGAGTCTGGTTTCCCTCCCTCCAGGCAGCCCTTGGTTTTACTTTATTCCTATAAAAATCTTGAAACTCTGAAGCTTTTCTTTATCTTAAATCGAAGCTGTATTATCATCATGTTATAATCCAGTCAAAAGTAAGGATTGTTTTGTCCAACCATTCCTTGATGTCCCATCAAGTGCTTGCTGGAAATGATGGCATACAACAGAAACTTATGTATGTAGTGTTTGTCTACAGGTTTGAATTTGGAAGACCGGAGAAGAGCACTGCAAGCCATCCTGATAAAAATGTCACCGCATTACCCTAAATGACAAAAACTACCAGGAAAAGTTAAAATTTTCTAAAGGTTGATGGTCATGGAAATAATGTAAAACCAAGGGCAGCCGTAAAGGAAGGAAATAGATCTATTGACTGTTAAATGATTTTGAATAGCTCATTCATCATCAAAAAATGGAAAACACACACTTGTCCTGCTCTTTGTCCGGGGTGTGTCAGCTATGCTCAGCCCTATAAACTCAGGATTAGTGTCTACCAGGACTAACCAGGAGGGAGGATTAAGTCCATTTAGTAGCAGTTTAATGTAAACAGTTGAACTTACAGAGTATCTGCTCTTCTTGATGCACAGGCAGACTTTTTTCTGAAACTCTGGCAGGTGGTGATAAGGTCGGTCGTTGGCTTTCACCTTCCATCCCATCTCTGAAAAAGAAAACATCAAAATGGTTCAATTAACAAATGTAATTTGTACACTACAGAATATATAATATGGTTTTAATGGTGCTACGCTAACAGTTTCCAGTCTTTATGCTAAGCTAGGCTAAACACGTTCTAGACCCATCTCTTTATTGGGTGAGTAAAAGTAAAAACTGATACCCATCTTTATATCTGAGTCTGAGAAAGATGGCTGACAAAATGGATTTTACAAAAAATAAATAATAATTCATACATTTAAATAAGTAAATGAATAATTAAATTAATAAAAAGTGACTCACCGCTCACTCTAACTTCCGCTGGGGCATGTGGGGCTCCTGGCAGCTCTTCTGGTTCCCCTTCAGAGCTTGGTTCTAATTCGTCATCTGTGTCATCGTCACTGTACGGCATGACCTCATCATCAGGCCCCAGGGAGCCCTGGGAGTCTGCGCGCCGCCGACTCATCTTAAAACCTTAGGAATGTCTGAGAAAGAATAGTTTCAGTTGCTGAACTTTTTCACATTTTTGCAGCATTCACGGAACAACTGAGGGTGTGGAGGGGCTGCATCCAACAAGTTGTTTAACTTTCCAAAACCACCAGTCTGACAATCTTTAGCCATTTTACCAGCATGGTTCTAGGGATGACAATGCCGATCTGTCCGTTTTTCTGTACGGCTTTGGTCCAGACTGAAATATCAAAAATTTACATCGATGGCAAAATCTTATACACATACATTCATTAATACCAGAGGATGTAACCAAATTTGATGATCCCTTTTCCTCTAACAAAGTTAGAAAGTTATAGTCAGTCTTTCCCATACACAGATTTACTTACACTGCCCGGTATATTAACAGCCAGTGAATTATTTTAGCGCTGTAAAAAAAAAAAACACAGAGAGGCTGGTCCACACGCGGCTCACCTGCTGTTGTAAAAACAATCACGGAAGAAAAAATCCAAAATGTGATTTGTGTTTCTTGGGGGACTTTAACTTTCTTGGTCAGAAGTTGGTTTAATAGAGTAGACACATACAGCCTGTATAATATACAAAGAGAGAGGCAGAAAAAGACGAGTGGAGACAGAGGCCTAAACTGCTCCCCATAACCAAGCTTAGGCTGAGAGAGAGGAGTATGTTGCACGTGTTACCTGCCAATAAATTATACTTTCTCATCTCTCAGTTTTTATATTTAACATACAATTTTTTTCAAGAATAGCAAAATAAATAAGGCAACATGATAAACAGAATAGGGGCAAATAGCCCCAGTGGTCAGTGATTGGTGTCGGCCAATACTGCTTCCAGCGATTGGCGATCTGCCCCAAAAACCCTGATCGCAGCACCCTTAATTGTTATCTTCTGGCTTCTGTTTTCAACCTTAAATTTAACTGATCCTTTTAAGTCATAAAGTCAACGTGCATGTTAGGTCAGCCTCAATTATTGATCTATTATGTTATTACAATCACTTATACTGTGTGTGAACAGAGAGAAATGGATTTGACAGCCGGGTTTCTGCCAAACCTCCTGATGCGTGATGATGCATGTGTGATGACGTTGCCTTGTGTCTTTGTGTGTGAAAGTGTCATGTAGTGGATGAATATGCAGATGTGACTCAAGAAAGCGACCACGCCCAGTCCTTTTATGAAGAACTCAATACAGTTCAGTGTGTTTACATGAGCTATATTCAGGCAGGCTATTTTTAGCAATAAGCTGACTGACAGGACAACCAGGTGACCGGTTTCAGATTAAGGGACTGGGAGAAATTCAGCTATTCTTGTTTTTCCATTGTGGGATGGTATGACTGGAAGAGCCGGATTAACCTCCAAAAGCTGATTCTTAATATTTTTTATGCCCAAGTCTTAACACAATCTGCTACAAGTGCAGATTTTGACCTTTTGAAAGTTCATTACAAGGGTAAGACCAGTCCTATGACAGACAAAAAATAATGAAACAATCACAACCAACGTGTAGCAAATGTATCTATTAACAAGTACTGTGTGTGTGTGTATCAAAGTCTGATATATCTTTTTCTTCTGTTCCACAGAGCTCCATTGTTGTCCAATAAATATTAAAACACAGCAGTCTGCAACACACTGTTGTACTAGCTGACCTACCTACACACTGTAGTTTATGAATCCCACATACACCATCAATACTCACTAGAGCACCAGAATGTGTATCAAGCTGTTGAGAACAGCCCCCTGGAGGAAATGGTGCATGTTTCCTCCAGTTTGAGTAATGTTTCATCAAATATAGCCATTTTAGGAAGTGACTGAGTCTGTCAACAATGAAACACTCTTTGTTTTTAAAGATTTAAGCCTTCAGTAGGAACTAGTGGGTTTGAGGATGAGTGCCACAGATAACAAGGAAGCAGGATATAACCTTGTGATACAAAGAAAGAATACATTTATAATTTTAGATGTTTTCATTAATTGACAGAAAAAGTTTTAAGAAAACTGTTTAGTGCAGAATGTAAAATTTCATTGACAAGTATGATCAAAGCAGACTTCAAGGTGAACTTGTGCTGAACAGAATAAGGTATAAACTCAGAGAGCAACTGATTTAATTTCTGTGGGCTTTTCACATTATTTTGCTCACTTTTTATATATGGGGAAACCAGGATTGGGAGTTAAAATTAAATTAAAATGATGATTCCATTACCATTTTGTCCTTACCAATACCTGAAATTTGCATATTGGCTGATAATGCATTAAAAAAAATGTTTAACTGTTGTATGATTGCCATCATTGTTACATGGCCTACAGTTGAACCCTGTGTAAAACATGAACCAATACCTACAGAAAATGAATGCCGTGGACCTCGCTTTTATTATTTAGTCTGATAGTCGGTGAAAATGCTGACATTTAGCTTGCTCTGCCTAACAGCACATAAGTGGAAATCAACTGTTCTTTGCCAGTGCCCAGTGGCAGCACAGCGCACATGACTCGTCTGACTCTGATTGGCTAGTATTTGTTGCCTTCATTGGTTAGGTTTAGGCCTAAGGGTAGGAATATCAGGGTAAGACAATCTCAGTCAGTAGGACGGGTCATGACCTTGGGTCCTGGGGTGGCATGTGGTGCTGATATTCTAATGCTAATAAATGATGTGGTATTTGATCAGTGTGTGGACTTTTGTATTGGCCAATAACCAATCCGGCTGTATCATAGGCATTTCCAACACCAGCATCAGTAGTGGAACAACCCTAAAAATGATTGTCTGTTTTACAGATAAAAATGATCATCTCAGACCCCATCTCCATCCTGACAGACAATATAACAAATCCGTTGTCTCATTGGAAATTCCTTTAACATCCTACAGGTCCTGGTCAGCAGGTGCCAAGTTTGGTTAGCACTTCCCCATCAGCTTAATGTTTAATGATGTAGAGGAGTCAATTAGCACAGCTGATAAGGTTCATTAGTTCGGTTTCAAGTACAAAACAAACCTAAAAAGCTCATCTGGGCCAGAAAAGGACTACGGTGAAATCCAACTTGTGAAATTAAGTAGTTAAATGGAAAGAAGGGATAGTTTATAGTCAGAGAGCTGCAAGCATGGCTATAGAATCCTGTCCCGCAGTATTTGATGTATAGACGAGTAACAGAAGACAATAGAAGATGTTGTGCTGATAATTCCATTTTCTTTATGTGAACAGAATCTAGGGCTTCGCTTTGGCCTGCAGGAGCTGGAGGCCAAAAAACAATGCCCCGCACGTCAAAGCATTTCATAGATTTGGGGTTTTCTCTACTGTGGACATTGTGTTATTTTTTTATGATTTCCTTTCACGTTTTACATTTTTCCCTGCGCTGTTTGGATGCGTGTTGTATGCTCATTCCTGCTGGCAACCTCTGACAGAACCTGGAACTTGTATCTAGTGTCAAACCCTGAACTCTGAAACCGGTGAAGAACAGTTCCTGCAGTAGAAAACATGTCAGTAGGACGGGTATTGTATCATTTTAACTTTCAGTTTATATATTTATTCCCTCGCGCGAGCTAGCTAGCAAAAATCCTGGCGCCCAGCGAGATCTACGTCATTTTTGAAAGTCAAGGTGTCGCGCGACAGGTCTCCCAAGGCGCAAAGACATACTGGGGTCCTTAAGCCGCTTGCAGACTTGCGGGAAACGTTTTTAAGTCCTTTGAGTTCCTAAGAGCGTGGAGACTTCCAGTGTCTTCAATGAAACCGTAACGCTAATATAGTTCCTGCAAACAGTTCAAACTCTCATCTGCAAACTGCAGTTTCACCCCTCCAATGAGCTGGTCAGCCACAAGTCTGGCACATGAAAACTGAGTAGAGGAAGGGGGTGGGAAAGACAAAAAGAGAAGGGAACCCTGATGTGGAGAGTAAATGAAATGGCCTATGCTCTCAGCAGGTAATTGCTTTATAAATAGCTATAAATACTTTTTAAATTAAACATTCTATAACTTATTTTAAAAAATAGAAATTCCTCTTTTTAGTTTTTTGATCGTTGTTTGACAAGTAGCAGAGGACAGATCTAATTTCATAAAAAATTGTAATTCTAAAAAAAATATATAAAATAAGTCTTCAAAACAGGAACAGATTTCCAACCTTAATATAAAACCAAAACAAATAAGAACAAAGCTAATAATTTTAATTTTTTTTTGCCCCAAACAGAAGGAAGTTTGTCGCAAACCCTTTTAAGATGGGCCCAAATATATCCCTTTTTTTACAGGCAGTCAATTTGATATGAAATAGGTGGTTATCATTGAAAAAGCCAAATAAAGGTTCTGTTCCAATTCAGGCAAACAGAGTCGGTGCTACTATTGTTGGCATGTTTGGCTCCCTAGAAAAGGCTTCCCTGGCTGAGCCTAAATGGAACAAGAAGCTTAATTAGTAAATACACTGACAGGATAGTCCCTACGAGCAAAGTTCTCCCACAA